TAGCAAAACCGGTAAATGGGCCTTGGATGGCCTTTGTGTCCTGCTCCCCGCACCAGGAGTTCTGAGCACCGTCTACCTGCCAGGCCGGGGCAGCCCTACCCCACAGAGCCTGTAGTCCAGGTGGTCTGGCGGACCAAGATTGGCCAGTTTCTTCCCAAATGGACACTGACAACCACTTTCTGTCCTGACTTCCGGCAGCCCATCTTGGACCCCCACTCTCTCTTCCTTGCTCCAACCTGCTCACCCCTTCCAGCTGCAAACCTGAGAAATTTACCCTCCTGGTTCTCCATCCTCCCGTCCTTCTGGCTCATTCTCTCCCACCCACATCCCCACCCTGTACCATCACCAAAGAAGCTTAGGGTAGAGCCCAGTCCCCTTGGTTTCAAATCCCAGCTCTGTTTCTTCCTAGCCATGTGACCTTAGGGAAGTTATTTAACCTCTTCATTCCTTAGTTCCTTGGGTATGACGGTTGTTTGAACCTCATGGAGTCATCAGGTTGAGAAAATGAGTTAACGTTTGTAAAAGAGCGTCTGGCGCAAGTAAGTGTTATCTTATCCTGAGTGATGTCTCCCCCAGCTTATCTGTTCCCCTGGCCTGAGGCTCCCTTTGCACTGGGACAGGGTGGGGAGCAGAGGGACCTGCAGAAGAGGCCAATTCTACAAAGACTTGAAGGGCCTAGAAACACTTCGTAAGGGAGCAGGCTCTGAGGGGAGAGGGTGGAGACTGGATGCGGTGTTGAATTGATAGGAATAGAAGGGCAGTTGGAAAGGGAAGAGCTTGAGTAAAGGTGTAGGGATAGGAAAGAGCAGGGCAGGTTTGGGGAATGGCCCCGGGTGGTGTCAGGGTGATGAGGCTGGAAAGGTCACAGGTTGGGGGTACGGACTGAGGACAGCTTTAGAAGCCAACCTGAAAAACCTGTACTTGATGGGAGAGGTAGTGGGGAGTTACTGAATCTAGAAAGATACTGATTCTAGACATCTGTTTCCCAGCTGTCTCACCAAACCTTTTCACTGGTTCTGGTACATGAGCTGATTTCCTAGGCTCAGGATATACCCGGCTCATGATAATCTTGGTGTCGTCCGTTCCCCTCCACCCCCAGTGTTTATCTGTCTTGGGTCTCTATCTTTTCTTCTGGAACTGGCTCGAACTTTTAGAACAGTTTTCAGTGATAACAGGTTTCCTTGACATGTTTTTTATTTTAATAAAGAATGTTTCAAGTATTTTACCAATTAAGTATGATGTCGACTGAAGATTTAAGATCGACACCAGATCAAAGGAGTGTACTTCAGTTCTTACTTACCAAGAGCAATATTGTAAGGAGTTAGTATTAAATTTTATCCAGGGCGCCTGGGTGGCTCAGTGGGTTAAACCGCTGCCTTCGGCTCAGGTCGTGATCTCAGGGTCCTGGGATCGAGTCCCGCGTCGGGCTCTCTGCTCAGTGGGGAGCCTGCTTCCCTCTCCCTCTCTCTCTGCCTGCCTCTCCATCTGCTTGTGATCTCTGTCAAATAAATAAATAAAATCTTTAAAAAAAAATTTTATCCAATGCCTTTTCCACAGCTTTGATATAATTGTATGGTTTTCAACTTTTGATAGATTACTATGATTTCCCAACCAGTGTTTTAAAACTGAATCATCCTTGCAAGTCTGCAATCAACCTTATTTGTTCATGGTATATTATTCTTTCTAATATTGTTTGATCAATGAAACAAGATTTTTTTTGCATGGCTATTAATAAATTGTGGGAGTAGCATTTAATTTTCATTTTGGTACACCTTTGTTAAGTTTTCATGTCAGGATTATGCTAGCTTGGAAAAAAATGAATCGGGAAGATTTTCTTTAGTTTTATATATCCTGGAACAGTTTAATAACAAAAATATGTGTCCTTTGAAGGCTTAGAAGAACTTGCCCTAAACAAAAAGAAACAAGACTTGCCTGAAAGCTAAATGAACATCTTAAATTTAAAAAGAATTTTAAAAAAGAACCTTTTCTATTTCTGCCAAAGTGATTGGGCTGTTTGTGTTTTCTCCTTCTCGGGTTAATTTTAATAATTTGTGTTTTCCTAAAATACTGTACTTTTTGCTAAGAAGTCCATATGTATTAGTGTAAACATCTTTGCGTTTTTTAATATCATCTTTTCCATGTCTCTAGTTGTATCTTCTCTTCATTCCTTACTTCATATTTGTGTCTTCTTTTTTGGATCTTGCCCTAGGTTTGTCTGTCTTATTGGTCTTTTTCAATAACAATTCTTGGGCACATTTATTGTGTCTGCTTTTCTCTGTTCCCTAATTCTTTATCTTCTGCTTTTTCTTTATCAATTCCTTCCTTTTCCTTTCCTTAGGTTCATTTTATAACTTTTTTTTTTTTTTAAGAGGGGAGAGGGGCAGAGGGAGACAGACAATCTTAAACAGGCTCCATGGCCAGCATGGAGCCCAGTGTGAGGCTCGATCTCAGGACCCTGAGATCATGACCCGAGCCAAAATCAAGAGTCGGACACTTAACCGACTGAGTCACCCAGGTACCCCATTTTATTACCTTTTTCTTTTTAAAGATTTTATTTATTTATTTATTTCACAACAGAGATTACAAGTAGGCAGAGAGGCAGGCAGATAGAGAGGAGGAAGCAGGCTTCCTGCTGAGCAGACAGCCTGATGCGGGGCTCGATCCCATGACCCTGGGATCATGACCTGAGCCAAAGGCAGAGGCTTTAACCCACTGAGCTACCCAGGCACCCCATTTTATTACTTTTTTATCTCGCTTCTTGAGTTGGGTGCTTTGGTGAGACACTGCATTTTCTGCTTTAGGGGTCAAGGTTTTAAAGCATGCGTAACACTGGCAGAAACTGTTGGGGTTCTGACCAAAGGCACAGCTTCTTGTTGAAGAAAGAACCCAGTCCCAGGAGGCAGGAGAGCTGCATTCCAGTCCCAGCCTTGTCTCCGATCAGCTGGGTATCCCTGGTGGAGCCCCTTCTCTTCCCATGACCCTCTTTCTCATCTTAGACAACCAGGTAGAAGAGGGTCCTGGGCTGTTGTTAGGAAACGTGGGCTAACGCACCTGCTTTGCCACCTGCCCCCTGCGGGACCTGAGCCCGTTGCTCCCTGCCCACCAAGGGTCTCAGCTTTGCCATCTGCAGAATGGTGACAGGGTTGGTCCAGAAGAGTTTCAAGGGCCCTCCCTTCACTGATTCTTGACCACAAGTGGAGGAACTTCTATGGGCTCCAGAGAGCTCCTGCTTCTCCCAACAGGGCCACTGCTTTCACTCACTGAACAAGTGTCTACAGGCCTCTGCCATTCTGACCTTGGGTGCAAAGACGTGACCCAGGAGCTTACACGCTGGAGACAGAAGCTGCCCTAAAGGGCTGTGAGCGCTGGGTCAGAGGAGGATGAGGGGGGAGGCATACGAAGGCTGGGGAGAAGACCTTCTTAAATCACCTTTATTAGAAGTGGTCAGTTCTGTCAATTCTGGTTTTCTGTTTAATGTCAGCTCTTGTGGGGGGAGTCAAAGGTAGTTCATTTGCTTCCCTTCCAATGCCTCATATGAAGAGACACGAGCAATGCTTGTCACAAGCTGGGATGCCCAGTCCAAAGCCAGGGAGGTGGTGAGCAGAGGGCAGGGGAGGCCACATGCCTGCTGTTCCATAAGATTCTGGAAGGTAAGCAGAATTCTGTGAAATGAGGCAGCCTCTGGCTGTTGGCTGGACAGTCTTTGAAGGACCAGCACTAGAAAAGCTGTTGGTTTATTGGGGGAATGTTCACGGCCCTACTGTGTTCTGGCTTGGATTTTTTGGGGAGTGTTGATCAGAGGTGGTTCTCTCCTTGGGCCACCTTCTAGTGGGTCTGAGCTCAGCATCATCTACCTGTGGGAGTGCCTGCACCAACTCGCTGGGCCCCAAAAGACATTCCTGGGACCTGGCCTGGCTCTTTGTGGTCACCGAGCTGCCCCCACCCAGTCTCCAGGGTCCACATTCAGACAAGGTCAATGTTCCACGTTCCCTCCCTTGTCCCAAGGCCACCTCATTTCCCACCTGCTTCCCAGGATGGCTGAAATAGATGCATCTCCTTCTTTCAGGAGCAAATTGGCAATTCCACCTGGAGGGTGGGGTCTTGTCCTCACTGCCCAACACCTAATCACCAAAAATCCTACCTAAGACCTGGGTTCCTGCCTGACTCACGAACACCTGGTTACTTACACGTCACTGGCAGTGCTTAAAAGGGCCAAAGCTCTGTTTTATACCTAAGAGGTGGCCAAAACTCGTGTCATCTCCCTTACAGAGTTCTGCTCTGTGGGGTTTCTTCTACACCGCATGAAACCCAGCACACCTGGACACGCCACTCATTCTGCATTTACTCGGGACCTACCAGGTGAGGCCCTGTGGTGGATGAATGAGGTGTCCCCCTGCTCTCCCGGAGCCAGCCGCCTGCAAAGAGGTGAACACACCCCCCGCAGGACATCTGCCCCCGATGGCTGAGGCCTTAATCTCTGCGTCCCAGCACTCAGAACCGTGTCTGATGTGAGGAGGTACTCTCCCTGCACGTTTGTGAGGTGCAAGACTAGCTCTGGGGCAGAGGAGGAAGAACTTAGTAAGGACAGACACACAGCTGTAGGGTGTGTGGAGCGGGGAGGAGTTTGAGCTCTGCAGGTGCGTGCTGTTGGGCTGGAGGAGAGGGGGCTTTGCCAAGGTGTGGAGGGGAAGTGCAAGCCCTCCAGCTCTCGCCAGGTGAGCTGGCCCGAGCTCCGGTTTACCAGGGAAGCAGCAGAGCTGTCGTGGGTCCCTGCTGAGTGGAGCCAGGGTGGCTGGAGGTGTGTGTGTGTGTGTGTGTGTGTGTGTGTGTTCGTGTGCGCGCGCACACGTGTTTGCATGCGTGAGTGACAGGAGGGGGGTGGGGGCACACTGGCGTTCGGCGCCCAGACGTGACAAATGTGCAGATGTCCCAGGAGCTGCGGACATGAGCGGCTGGCCACGGAGACACTCACCCCGTGATTTGTTGCTTTGATTCCTCAGGCCGTGACTTGGCGAGCACGACCCTCCCCGGGTACCCTCCGCACGTCCCCCCCGCCGGACAGGGCAGCTACTCAGCACCGACGCTGACAGGGATGGTGCCTGGTGAGTTTGCACTGTCGACGTCGGCACAGCGGGCAGTGGACGGGGTTTCGAGGGAGGCATCCCCCCAAACAGCCCGGGTGACCTCTATGCTTCTGAGAAGTGGACCTGAATAAATCAGGCAGAGGCCTGCACTCTCAGCCTCTCTGTCTGCAGCTGGGCCTTCAGTGGGGCCGGCAGTGAACTTGGGAAGTCGGCGGGGCGGGGGGGTGCGGGGGGAGGACTGTCACTCAAACAGCCCCTCGGCGGCCACACAGATAGTCTGAACACAGAGGGGTGCGGGACCTGGCCAAAGGTTGCCCAGCCAGTGCTCAGTAGGGGTCCTCCTTCTTCCCCCCCCCCCCCCCCCCCCCCCCCCCCCCCGGTTGCCCGGGGGGGGGCCCGGGGGGGGCCCCCCCCCCCCCCCCCCCCCCGCCCCCCGCCACCCGATTTGCGTGCGTGAGGGGAACAGCAGGAGGCTCCCCCTCACCCCCAGGTGCTCTCAGTAGCCTTACTCCCTGGCTCGAGGACCGTGTGCTCAGGACAGAGAGGCTGTTGGCTGGTGGGTTTGTCGCTTGATTCTAAGCTGAATACCAGGTGGCCGAGGAAACCTTATCCCCTCAGGCCAGCCACATGTCCGTCATAGGGCAGGCCACCATGTTCCTTCCACTGTAGGATGGTGTGGGGGAAAGACAGCCCATGTCCTGGTGCTGGCTGGCTGTGTCCTCAGGGCATGAGTGGAGCAGGGTAACCCAAAGTAGCATTTTTTTGAAAGGTGTTTAAAAAAAACCAGGGGGAAAATCAGGACTGGGTTGGATGTGGTTATGCTTCTTTTATTCTTTTAAGGGTTAGTAGTGTTTCTTGTTCTGAATCATTTACCTGATGCCTGGCCCTTCTTCCAGTCCACCCTTGGGGTCCTGCCTAAGTAGCCCCATGTCTCTGCCGGCCTCTTTCCCGCCCGTGTCATGGGCATGTGCACCCCAGGCCTAAGGACAGGTGGCAGGTGGACAAAACCAAACGTGAGACGGGGTGTTCCCACCTACGTGTGAGGCTCCACAGGATGATGAGCGAAGCCAGGGGCAGGAAGGGAAGCCGTCCTAGCCTGACTAGGTTATCCCCACGCTGCCGGGTCCTGGTACAGATGCCGAGGAGTGCCAGAACTCCGAACTCACTCCTGGCCTTCCCGGTTGTTAAAAAGATGTATTTAACAAGGTAGGAGGACAGAGCATATTTCATTTAACGGTTTGTTAGCTTGATTTATGACTTTTAAATATGAGACATATGGGAAATGGCCTCTGTGTGTACTTGTGCCCTCGGCCTCGCCAGGGCCAGGGAGGCCTGCCAGCTTCACACCTGCAAAGAGCCTTTGCCTTTCTGCTGGGGGGATGGGCGCATGGCAGAGCCTCGGGAAATTCTGTGCACAAGGCCAGCAGAGGTGGGGAGCCCAGACTCCTTCCCACCCTACTCTCAGGAGATGGAGCCCAAGTCCTGCCCCCTGGTCCCTAATAACTAGGCTCAAGACACAAATGGTCGTGGGCCTGGCAGAGACCCCCGTGGGAACCAATGGAGGTTCCTGACACATTTACAGCAGCAGCAGAAATCACAGGCCTGAGCAAAGGTCCAGTCCAACCAAACCAGCAGCCAGACTGGTGCTAGCACAGGGCGTGATCTGTCCCCTGGCACAGAGGGCGGGTGCACGATGTGGAGAGAGGAACACAAGCATCTTGGCGGGGAGTCCCAGGTCTGCCTCCCACTCTCTCCGTTGCTTCTCCGTTTGCTTTCTCTTCTTAAACACACCCGCGATGCATCTGCTTCCAGACCCAGTGTCATGGCTGGGACCCCATGCTCAGGGAGCACGGTCCTTCGTTCCTGTTCCTCAGTGTCCAAATTCTGTCACCTCTTTGGGATTTTGTTCCCAACACGATCATCAAAGCTGTTTTAGGAATGGCTTCTTGGGGACAGTGCAGGCCCACATACGTGGTCTTCGCTGATCTGCCCCCAGGGCTGGCACACGGCCCAGAGGCCCCACCTTACAGCAGAGCAGGTCTTGGGCCTGCCATTCGGGTGTCACGTGATCTGGCCTCAACTTGCCTTTCTGATCAACTCTCCCAGCTCGTCCCTCCCTCTGCCCACTGGTTCCTGGCATGCCTCACACTTTCATCGGCCAGTGTCACTCTTTGGTCTGTGCCCTTGGATTCTACTACTTCCTGCCTCTGCCTATTGGGATCCAGCTCTACCCTTCAGGTGACCTGGAAACACCATGTTCCCCATAAAGCCTTCTGGTTTGGCCTTCCCCTGGCGATGTTTGATTACACCCCATAGCCTAGCATGTGTGTGGCCCAGTTAGCGGTGCCACTGGCCAGTGAGTCCTAAAGGTCAGGCCCTCTGCTTTGTCTTTTGTACCTCTCACAGTCCCTAGCACATAGAAGGCCCTTCTGTGTGCGGTGGCTAAGGGAGGGAGGCAGAGAAAATTAATAAGAAACTGTGTTTGTTCTTGTGACTGTCTTCCAATTCTGGGGCCCAGGGCTGTGTCCTCTCTGGGGGCTCTAGGGAAAGGTCCATTCCTGCAAGCCCTGGTGTTCCCTCCCAGTCTCTGTTCTATCTTCACACCATGGAGGGTGTCACGTCTCCCTCTCCCTTGTAAGGATACACAGGACTGCATTTAGGGCCCGCCTGGATAATCCAGGATACTCTTCCCTTTTTAAAATCCTTAATTACATCCATAAAGGGACACCCCCCCCTCCACAGCACACACACTCTTCCCTACCTTTTTTTTTTTTGGTCCATAGACGTACCTTCACAGGTTCCAGGAATTAGGGCATGGATATACCACAACCTGTTTGAGGATTTCCACTTTGTTCAGATTTCTGACTCATAATCTTGGGCTTCTGAATCTGGGAGGTGTTCGTTCGATTGTGGCCGTGCTGAAGGGGATGCCATTTCACAGACCCCCCAGGGGCATGTTGGTATAGTTTGGAGAAACAAACTGAAGGAGGCTGTAGAAGATGGTGTATCCCACTTTTGTCTGAGGCTGTGACGTGGCAACCGCGTGTTTCACTATATGGAATGATCCACCTGCTCCCCTAGCGGAGAATCCAGAGGGAAACCGAGATCTTCTGAGTTGTTTTTTTCCAGGACAGATTTTAGGAAATTTGGCTGCCCTTTTTTTTTTAAGGCTAAGACTTTCTTTTAAGGGACGACTTTCAGGTGTAAGATTTGCTTATAGGACGTTGAGGAGGGATTGCCCAAGTATATTTGAACTTTTGGCCCTGAAAAAAAAAATAGGCATTATGTTTTTCCATGTTAAATTCCAGCTTGTTGGCTTGGACTCTGTATTTTCCATTCTGGTTCTGCCCTCAAGGTACTGCCCAACATCTCCGGCTCCAGGGCTTTCCCAGGTCTGCAAAATGGGGCTTCTTGATCTTCTCTGGTATTTGCAGATTCCATTTCTGCCTCTGCACAGCATCTGTGAGCCCTTCGTCGACCACTTCTGCTGAATAAAGCAGAGAGGGCACATAATCAGCTTAGAATGGAAATGGCTGAGTTTTGTTTTCATTGAGTCCTAGCAAATGCCAACAGCTTTGCACCAGAGATTCAATGGTATCCTGATGGGTATAACTAGTTGATTCCTGCCTGGAGATGTTTATACAACCTAACAGATATTGACATGGCATTTGAAACTCTTAAAATGTCCAGGCTGGGCGAGAAGGAAGGGCGTTCACTGCCCTTTGGCTTCCGTGAGTCTCAGCAGCCAGGAAACGGTCTTTGAGACAACCCAGCAAGGGACGTGCCCACATGCCCTCTGCGAGCCACCCCTCTGGGAGCTTTAGGCCCGAGGGCCAAGAAATCCTGACCATGACCTGTTTGCCTTCCTGGGGCTGCAGTCGACAAGAAGCTGGTGGGGAGGCCTAGAAAGAGAGCAGCCAGTTCCTCCTGTCCTGGCCGTTCTGCTTGCTGTGGGTGGGTGTACATTGTTTCTAGGTGCTTTTCAGTTAAGTTGCTCGGTTAACTGGTGGCTTTTGTTTTCATAAAGAAGGTAGTGAGGGTGGATAGAGCAGGAAGCTGAGGCCAGCAAGAAGGGCTGGAACAACAGCAAGAGATGGGCAGGCCCTGCGCCCGCAGGACTCTGGAGGGAGGAACGAGAGGCAGGTGCGGCTTCTCCTCAGCCCCTCTCTGCTGCTCTTAAGGGCCTAGCCCTCTCCTCCCTGTGGGGTTCACCTCAGAGGGGCCCGCCTGGCAACCAAATGCGTATTAACTCCCTATTGCTATGCAATGAGTTACCACAAACTAGTGACCTAAAACATAAATTCACCGTCTTACAGTTCTGGAGGTCAGAAGTCCACAGTGGGTCTCAGTGGGCTAACATCAAGGTGTTGGCAGGGCTGTGTTCCTCATGGAAGCTCTGAGGGGAATTGTTTCCTTGCCTTTTCCAGCGTGGAGATACTCCCTGCATTCCTTGGTTGGCAGCCCCAGTCCGTTATCTTCAAAGCTAGCGGTGTTGGGCTGGATTGTTATTGCGACGCTATCTTTCTACTTCTCTCCAGTCTCCCTCTTCCCCTTCTAAGGACTCGTGGGATTTTATTGGCCCCACCTAGGTAATCCAGGGTACTCTCCTTGGCTTTCAGCTAGTTAGCAATTCCCATTTGCTGTATCACCCACCATGCTCACAGGCTCCAGGAATTAGGACGTAGACCTCTTGGGTCCGGAGCCATTATTCTGCCTCCCACACCAGACAAACCAGGAGCCCCCATCGCTCCGCTCACAAAGCATCCTGTTCTTTTCATGCAGGATACTAAGCACAGGTGAAGGACTTTCCTTAGTGATTTACTCTACCCTCGTCCTCTTTCCCGTCAGATCTGTGCAGTCTACAAGGGCTGTGCGGTATACAAAGCTAGGTCTGTTTTGTTCACTGCCGTGTCCCAGTCCCCAACCACACGGTGAAGTGTGGGACACTGGAGCCAGATTGCCTGGCTTTGAATCCCCATCCTGTGTCTCACTAGCTGTGTGACTTGGGGCAAGAGACG